TTAGAAAAATATATCTAATTGTCATAAAGTTGTAAAGGCTATCATGATGACAAGTACATGTGATTTAACATGTTGTATTGAAAAGATATTGAGTTCCTGTTCGTGATTGTCTTTATGTGACTATTTGATATAATTCAATGAAATGTAGCCATAAACATTTTACAAGTTGGGTCAGAAATATGCCACAAAAATTTCAGATCAGGTAAGATGATCAAGTGTTCCATTAGCATGTATTAAACTTTTTACATTTAGTAATAGGAAACATATCAAAAAATATTACAAGACTAGTTTTTATAGTAATTTACCGGATTAGAAAGATTTCATATAGACAGCATTTTAAACAATGAAGTTGAATGAAAGTAATTTGAATTAAAATTGTATTAGACAGGATATGGGAATGAACAACATCTATATAAGTTAAGATTCAGAGTTCTAATATTATAATGAAAAACATCAGTAGTGTGCGTTTATTAAGTATATTTCATCCAGGACATCTTGGGTTTTTTAAGTAAGTAACGTATTATTCATAATATATAATATCAGATGCGAGGAATAACATAACCAATATATTAAAGAACAATGCTCTTAGAATGTCTTTTCTACAGAATGTGACGACAGAATGTTTGGAGTTAACTGTACTAAGTCCTGTGTTCACTGCTTAAACAATGAACAATGTCATCACATCAACGGTACTTGTTTACAGGGATGTTCTCCTGGATACAAGGGACCGGGCTGCAAAACTAGTAATTTATTATCATCTTTGTATATAAGGGTTTTAACAAATTTACATATAAAAGAACTTGTATATTCCACACTGATAATAATATATCTTTGATATGTATTCAAATTTAGCAAATTTTAAATGCAGAAAATAATAGATAAAGGGATATAAATTTATTAGCATCTAAACATTTACAGGGAAAATTATAGCATAATTGTTAATATAATTTTTTGTATTTAACAAAAAATGAAAAAAAAAATGTAATTTCAGGAAAATCATCATTTAGATACAAAATAGAGAAATGGTCATTGAATTTTTAATTCCCAAATGTAATAAAGCATTAAAAAAGAAAGACAATGTCCTTAAGATTCAAAGTTGTTTGAGTACGTGCAATGAGTTGAAACTCTGCACGGAGAATTTGGATTCTGCATATGAGTGGAGCAATTTATTTGAAGTGTTTAAAGTGAGTCATGTGAATATGCACAATCCCCATTAACAGCTTTAAAGCAAGGTTTTTCCAATAGGGCAAGTAAAAGAATCACTCTTATTAGATAAAAACTTTGCTCACATTCAAAAGTGCTGTGAAATGGCTTTTTTTCTCAATTTATGGATAATTATTCATTATCGTTTTATTATTCGCATTTAATCAGGGACAGTTCGGAATGTCAAGAATTCGAATCTCGAAAACGACTGACTCAAGTTGATAAAAAGTATTTAGCAAATTTCCTTCTCCATGCGATCTGTACTTTTAAGTGAAGTTGTGGGTCCTTCGGATAAGTTCTTAAAAACAGAAACCCGATGTTTCGTAACGTCTCTAAATGACTGAACATTCTTAATTCGACTTTAAGCAAAATAAAATTAATTAATGAATAAGATACAGAGTTTTACATGCCACATAGATATTTTTTTTTTTAAAAATCGCTGAATAATGTCTCGTTCGTAACACGGGGCTTTAGCGTGTCAATATATAATTATTCTTATGTAATTGGATTTCTAAAAAGGATAACTTTATCCAGTAAAAATGTTTGCTTTAAAGGACAAGATAGGGTAAGACCAGTATTTGGCCCCCGATTGTGGGTGTCTTTAGAATGATCCAACAGTTTATCCATAAAAACCTGTTGTCACCCCTGCCACAAAATGTGTATTGGTTTTAAAATTTAGAATATACAGGGGTCACAGTGGGGTCAGGAAATAGGTCAATGTTCGACATTTCTCATTTTATGCAAATTTTCATCAAATTTACAACACATTTTCTTTCGGAAAACAGAGCACAAGCTTGCCTATCTACCAAATTTATATATTTTATACACTAATATCAGATGCAGTTTATGTGAAAAAATCTCAGATAGGCAAGCTTGTGCTCTATGTTTTCCGGTGAGAAATGTATCCCAAATATTATGAAATTCCACCAGCATTGAGGAAATTCTGGAAAATGCCCTATTTCTGAACCCTCTATTGGCTTCCATGTAAGCTTTGAATAAAAATTAGTGCTTGTTTTAAAGTAAGCACCATTTTAACTTCTTTACTACAAACTATCACAATTTTACCAGTGCTCTGATTTTTACATCAAATAAAGGGCCAGATTCGGCTGTTATCTTGTCCTTTATCAAGAAGGCAAAAAAGACAACCTAAAAATTTGTTTTCTAAATACAAATCTTTGAAAATATCTAGAATGTGATGGTGGGATGTATGGTATAAACTGCAATAAAGCCTGTGGTCACTGCTTAAACAATGAACAGTGTCATCATATCAACGGTAGTTGTTTAAAGGGGTGTTCTCCTGGATACAGGGGACCGGGCTGTAAAACAAGTAATTCATTATCATCTTTGTTTATTAAGGACATACGCAAGGTACCTTACCTACTGATAATTTTTTCAAGATATTCTTAATTAAAGACGAAAATGCCATTAGATGTTCATAGATAAAAAAAAAATCAGCATGCATTACCAGGGGTTTTTGGAAGATATCAAATTATGAAATTTTTTGTATTATTCAAAGAAAAGAATACAAAAATTACGAAACATAAATTCCTGATTTTTCCTATCAAAATTTATTTTAGAAGAGGTGAACAAATCCAAAGATAGAGTAATTATAGACATTAAAAATATTGGACACAGGTCCTTCATTTAGTGGAACTCTTCAACTCAAGGAGTTCAAACTACGTTGCATATGACCTTAAAGAAAAAACCATATAAGAAAAGAGATAAATTTGCACCTGTACAATATGTAACAAAGTGATATACTTAATGAAAAAATGAAAGTATTACCACCTTTATAAACAGTTTATATAACTTTTATAGTATATAATCTAATCAAGCATAAAGAAAAAGAACAATAATTTTGATAGAGTGTGATGGAGGTATGTATGGATACAACTGTAACCAAAGCTGTGGACATTGTATGAACAAAACCAGGTGTAACCATGTCAACGGTACATGTTCAGAAGGTTGTGCTGTAGGATTCAAAGGATTGCTTTGTGAACAAGGTACTTGTCAACAATATCCAATGCCGAAATGTCGTTCATTTCTCTCTCAGACACCTCTGCAATGGGCTCACGTCAAGATTTTTGACATAACCTATCAACCGAGGATATTTGCAGGATTATTTCCAATTAAATTAATAGTTCTGGGTAAATTTAGTAAATATATATCTAAAAATTCGGACATAAGCATAGAAATTGAATTATAATGAAGTAAAACAAACGTACTATTTCTCATGTTTATCACTGTGATATGCACAAGCGAACGACCGAGGAGAATGTATGAGCCGATGGTAGACAGTGACTCGTCAATACAAATGTTTAAAAATATAGAGGTACGAGACTCACTTACTGACAATAGAAACAAATAATTAAGAAATACTTTCGGGTACATACAGGGGATGTGTAGTGGGACTATTTTACTGACGGAGCGCACCCTTTTCTTGGTAAAATGTATTTTTAAAGAAGACAAACATAGGGTGATTGAATTGTACTCCCTTCGAGCAACTATTAAAAAAAAGAGAACCGCCGACACATGGCTGCAAAATTGCCGACTTGGCGTTAAACAATATTCAATCAATCAATAAAAAAAAAATATTCAAGGTTGTTTGAATTGGTGATTATATTGGAAACCTTTCAAGGGGACTGAATTTACAGGGAAAACATTTTATTGACCATTGACACTGTAAAAGTAAGGCCTTTTAATTTCTAATTATCCAATATTCCAAAACTTTTGTACTTGTATTGATTGTTTTTTAAATTTTCAAATATAAACTCTACGCCTGTTATACTTGACAATCATGGGTCTCCCCTTAAATGTTTTATCTACCACGGCAAGGCATTTTTAGTGTAATATGTATTAAACATCATTCCCGTAAATTCAGACCCGCCAGAGAGGATCATTTCCTTATCTTTGGTCATTCATATATATCTTTGGGTAGATTTTTGTTAAATACAACAAATCAGAAAAGTAGGAAGGGGCTAAAAAAAAAGGAAAAAAATATACAAAAAAATTACCCATTCATCCATTTTCAAAATTTATTTTCAGAGTGTAAGGGCAGGATGTATGGTGTTAACTGTACTCAATCCTGTGGTCACTGCTTAAACAATGTACAGTGCCATCAAATCAACGGTACTTGTTTACAGGGATGTTCTCCTGGATACGAGGGACCCCTCTGCAAGACAGGTAATTTGTTATTAATCTACATTGAATCAATTTTTATAAGGAATATCAATATTTCATTACTAATATATACCATAATGATTTTCCTTATTATTTATTAAGATTTGCAAAAGTTATATAAGAAAACTATTTGATAAAAGAATAGAAACATTAACATATTAACGAAAACAGAGAAAATGATATGGCACCTGATCCTACCTTTCATGTTTTTGAGGTCCGTGTTTGTTCTGCTCATTTTTTGTTTTGTTTTATGGAATTTTGGTCTTGAATACTGGAGGTTATCTCTGTATGTTTCATGATAATGGTTAATAAAAAAAAAATAAAATATGCAGAATGTGATGGTGGAATGTATGGTATTAACTGCAATCAAGTCTGTGGTCATTGCTTACATTATGAACAATGCCATCATATCAACGGTACTTGTTCAAAGGGATGTTCCAAAGGATACAAAGGATATCTCTGTAATTCTGGTATAGTATCAACATCCCTGTTCTTCCCAAAACCTTGTAAATATTTTATTGGGCTATTTGTATATAAACTACGAATCGTAGAATTTTTGTTTTCTAATTGATACAAAATAAAACAGATTATGAGGGAAATTTCTTAATTTAAAAAAGCGTGTGATGGAGGTATGTATGGAAACCACTGCAACCAAAGCTGTGGACATTGTATAAACGATGCTCAGTGTAACCACGTCAATGGTTTATGTTATGAAGGGTGCTCTGTAGGATTCAAGGGATTGCTTTGCGACAAAGGTATCGTGTTTTCAAATTTAATGTCAATTATACAGTGCAATTAGGAATTTAAAAAATGTTTATGAACATCAGTTTTTGAATGAGCCTTATCGATATGCAAACCTTCTCAGAAAATGATATTCTTATTGGTTAAAGAGGCATATTTCTTATAATTGACCTAATAATTGAGATAACTGTAAAGTACATGTATAAGGTGAAAAACAATGTGTATTCCTTTATTCATTAGGGTAATTGAAATACTCTTTCACGCAGGACTCCAGTGATTGATTTGACATGTACCGGCTTAAGTTAAAACCGAATATCTTGCATATGTTTAATAATTCTTTCAAAACCTTTTTTAATTAATATTCAGCATGTGACGGTGGAATGTATGGAATTAATTGCAATCATGTATGTGGTCACTGTATGAATGATGAACAATGCCATCATGTTAAAGGTACTTGTCAACAAGGATGTTCTCATGGATACCAGGGATCACTCTGCAACATTGGTATGTTATTTTTGTAGGTTTTATTGGGAAGGGGCTGGTGGTTTTAGAATCCGTGTGTAGAATTGGTTTTTGACATCCAGATCTAAACTATAACATACATACCCAGAAACGTATCGAATTTTGTTTGCATCTTCTGAATTTCTTTTCTGCATTCGTTCATAATCTCTCATATTACATGTAGATATCCAAACATTTATATTTCATGTTCCCCAACTGGGGTTTTATTGTGAGAAACAACAATAGAGAGGCTCTTCATTTTTATACCATATATAACTTTCATTGACTTCAGTGTACGTGCCAGGTTTGGGGAAAATCTACCGTCCCGGTATTTTTCAGGGGCCGTCTCTCAAAGTGCAGGTACATTTACTATGGGATTGTTTAGGAATGTGCCAAATTTTCTCACTTTATAGCAAATTATACAAATACTACAATATGATGAATAATATTAAATTGTACATTATATGTAAGAAACATAAAATCCTACTGTCTTGTTTTCAGAGGGGGCATCTCAAAATGCTTTTATCTTTCATAACATTCTTCATACATCTGATTTAAGAACTTCACATTATCATAACGTCAAAAACGGATCATTACGACGTCAATCTTCCTATCAGATGAAAATTCGTTTCGAAAATTCATGACATAAAATTACAATAGAATTTTTCAGTCAGTAATTTCTTAATTTTTATTGATATTGTTAATCAAGTGAAAAAATGGCTTTTAAAAAGTAAAAAAGCGATAAGTATCATTTTTAATAGAGTGTGAAGGTGGAGAGTATGGTTATAACTGCAATGAAAGCTGTGGACATTGTATGATCAATACCACGTGTAACCATGTCAACGGTACATGTCCAGGAGGGTGTGCTGTAGGATACGAGGGGCCTCTTTGTACGAATGGTATATAATAAACATACGTATTATTTTGTAATGATTGTTTATCTTCATTTTTTTTAATTTCATTTTTTTTGTCTTGAATATATTTTCTTATGTGTGCTTTATCATGAAACACTTCAATATCTAGTTTTTGGTGGTCAGTTTTTTAAACGGGTTGACCATGTCCTTCAAACTGTTAATTGATTTTATAGTTTGTAGACGATCGTACTGGGGAGTCAATTGTAAAGAGACCTGTAAGACGGAATGTGACAGCCAGACCTGTCATCACGAGTCAGGACATTGTCTAGCATATGCACAGGTAATGAAATCAATAAAACATACGAAGGGCAAAGTAACTTTAAAGAAAGAACTTTTGAAAATAAGTGATGAAATAATTAGCTTTCAATCTATTTTATTTGCATTTTTCTTAAGTTGAAATCAATTCTTTTTAGCTTACCTGAGCAGAAGGCTCAAGTGAGCTCAATTGAGCTTTTCTGATCACATTTTGTCCGTCGTCCGTCCGTCTGTAAACTTTTCACATTTTCTACTTCTTCTCAAGAACCTATGGGCCAATTTAACCAAACTTGGTACAAAGCATCCTTGTGTAAAGGGGATTGTAAATTGTTAAAATAAAGGGCCAAGTCCCCTTACAAGAGGAGATAATCAAGAAAAGACAAAAATAGGGTGAAGTCACTAAAAATTTTCTTCTCAAGAACCACTGGGCCAGGAAAGCTGAAACTTATGTGGAAGCATCCTTGGGTAGTGTAGATATTAAATTGTTAATATCATGACCCCCGGGGGTAGGGCATGGCCACAATAGGAAATCCAAGTTTTACATAGAAATATATAGAACAAATCTTTAAAAATTTTCTTCTCAAGAACCACTGGGCCTCAAAAGCTGAAACTCATATGGAGGCATCCTTGGGTAGTGTAGATATTAAATTGTTAAAATCATGACCCCCGGGGGTAGGGCAGGGCCACAAAATGAACCCAAATTTTACGAAGAAATGTATAGAATAAATCTTTAAAAATAATCTTCTCAAGAACCACTGGGCTAGGAAAGCTGAAACTTACGTGGAAGCATCCTTAGGTAGTGTAGATATTAAATTGTTAAAATCATGACCCCCGGGGGTAGGGTGGGGCCACAATAGGGAATCCATGTTTTACATAGAAATATATAGAACAAATCTTTCAAAATCCTCTTCTCAAGAATCACTGGGCCAGGAAAGCTGAAACTTTTATGGAAGCATCCTGGGGTAGTGTAGATTCTAAAGTTTTAAAATCATAAAAGGGAAGGGGGTAGTGGGACTTGATAGGTATAGCAAGAGGGGGAATCTGGTAAAGAACTGCATCACCCAAGATACTCAGGTGAGCGATGTGGTCCATGGGCCTCTTGTTATGATAAACTATAAAGCATAAATACATAATTATGTCGCAAATGTTCCACATATGAATTGCAGTCTTCTTTTGTACGATTGTGACAGGCACAGTCTTGTAACACATGTAGGAGTGACTACACAGTGACCATTACAAGTGTGGTTGTCTCCTTATTAATTGTTCTGATCGGAAGTCTTCTTAATTTTCTTATCTGGAGGAAACTGCAGAGTACGTAAATGTTTCAATTCTATATTTGCCTTTTATGTGTCTTTTAACATCCCCCAAAATGGCTCATTTAAATTTATCATTTCAAAGAAAAAAATAAAAATAATAATAATAATAAATACAGATTTTATTTCTATTACTTCTAAAGTAAAAAGTAAAATTCTGTAACACATATATTGTAAAGATACATAAATCGGCGGGCTCGGTGTTTTTAAAAGTTAAAAATTTGTACATGATATGAAATTCTTCTTACAAATTACCTTCTGAAATGTATTCAACCCATTTTTACAGCAAAAGGGACGTTTAAAGATACCGCAAATGAAAAAGAGTATTACAATGATTTCCCAGCTGTTGATATAGGAGGTAATATCAAATATTTAAGGAATCACTGTCTAGATAGTATAGTATGCCAGAGCATCAAGGATAGTGGGAAACATGAGATAATTTGCATAACGGGCGAAACCCGTTATGCAAAAATTATCCCCTGTTTCCCATTGTCGTTGATGTCCCTGGCATACTATACTAGCTAGACAGTGATTCCTTATATTTCCATTTCATTGGGAAATAAAATTTTAGATTTAGACTTTAAAAATGTAGACATATATTTAAATTAAACGAGGACTCCCATGGCAATTTCAATACTCGTCGCCCACTGACGTCAAACTTAAAGGTATCCGCACGAGATTTACATGCACATTTGGTCTCCTTAGGGCCAGACACAGAAACAGATGCGTACGAGATTTGCATGCATATTAGGCCTCCTTAGCTCCTGACCTATCGACCTAACTCATTTACATTCTGGGAGAATTATCAAGAAATCAATTCTGCTTACTTTCAAAGAGTTATGACAGAGAAGCAAATTAGAAATGGAAATATACAAATATAAATGGCTTTTTTTTCATATGAACGCTGTAATGTGAACAAAATAAACGGTGATGATTCAATGGAGGTCAACAACATCTGAATATATATCAATGTTGTCTACAATATTATTTAAAGTAAAAGTAATATCCAACCGATACCACTGTATTTGAAATCATCGTATTAAAGGCTACGATAATGTTAGAAAAATGCCCGTTATGCATATATTATCCCATGTTGTCCACTATCGTTGATGTCCCTGGCATACTATACTAACTAGACAGTGATTCCTTATATTTCCATTTCATTGTGAAATAAAATTGTAGATTAAGACTTTAAAAACGTAGACATAGGTTTAAATTAAACGAGGACTCCCATGGCAATTTTAATACTCGTCGCCCAATGACGTCAAGCACAAAGAAAGCCGCACGAGACTTACATGCATATTTGGCCTCCTTAGCGTCAGACACAGAGGCTGATGCGCACGAGATTTGCATGTATATTAGGCCTTCTCAGCTCCTGACCTATCGACCTGCCTAATTTCGGTCCGGCAGAATTATTAAGAAATCAACTCCTCTAACTTTCAAAGAGTTAAATATAAATGGTCTACATTCTACTGTTTGGAAAATGTTTTAAAATTATAAACTATAATTATGTAAAGCTGTTGTAAAGAAATGAAATTTCAATCATATTGCATGTAGAAAAAAAGTGAAAACTGAATCTATAAGATAGTAAATTATAAGTTAAATAATTTTCAGAAAAACAAAGTGGACGAGATGTGTATGTATTGTTTTATTCACTACTTTATTTATTTTTTCTCTTTACTTAATTTTTTCGCAAAGATTAACTTCTGAATGTATTTTTTTTTTCAATCTGGCAGGGATATTTCCCCTTATGCAGAACTAAGAGAACTCGACCACCAAAACACTTATGATGAACTTTAGTAATATGCAAAAGAAGACGACAAAATTTAGTTGGAAGCATTGCTATTGTTTACATTTTAATGTAGAACTCACTTTCCATAGAGGCTTTATTTACATAGACTTTTCTGAGTGTTTAATGTCAGTACATATTTTTCTTGAGAGGATATCTTTCAATTTTTTTCGTGAAGGAATTCGGTGTATTATGTCTTTTTTTTATCCCTCTTCATATATCTTTTCCACAATCAGATTCATGCCGCACAACATGATGTTGAGTATTAACTTCCAGTTGCGTTGTGTTTTGTTAAGGGAAATATTCTTCTTATATCTTCCACGTCCGTGCATGATTTTAATTTGATTTTTTTGGGGTTTACTTTTGATGAAAGCTACATACTTCTGTCAAACAAATATAAATTTAACAAAATAACTTTTATATTCACAACTTTTCATGAAACAAATCACTCACTTTACTAAAGTTAATTACCTTTTCTTTTGCTTGTTCGTGTTGCTTAAACCACTTAAGGAAAAAAAAATTAAAAGCTGAGTGAAGATGTCATTTTTTGCCAGGATAAATGACAAGAAGTGTAACAAAAGAATGTATAAAATACAATTACTTACAACAAAGTATACTCAACAAAAAAAGAAACGCATATTCAGATTAAACATAATAATCTAAGTTTTCAGTTTACTCCTTATTTTTTAAAAGTGATTTTAAAGGGTTTTGATAAAATCAAACATGTCCTGTGTTGCGAGTAGAAAAGTGAAGTTTATGTCATTGTCGATGCCTCCAAATTCTAGGGGATTACCGTCTAAATCATCCATATATCCTATGCGACAACTAAGTGCAACTGGATTTCCAATGTACGGATGTCGTGCACAAATACCAGCTCCTCTCAGTCTCTTGCGAACAATTTATGCACTTTTATGCTGATTTTTTCATCCAGCAATTGTAGCAGCAGTTTTTACAGCAGTTCTGAATGGCGTGAGGTGCTGAAAAGAGGGGGGGGGGGTCTGACGGTCCTACCTGGGTGTGGCTACCTGCGGATAGCCAATTCTTGGTCTTCCGACGTTAGTTTAACCGCTGTAAAGCCCATTGATGTGTTTAAATTTACAGTTGAAACTTCCTGTTGCTTAACTCCATTTAGTATCATCGTAAGCCTGGTTGTGTTCATCTTTGTTTCGGCGTGGCATTGCAGCATCAACACTGCAATCAAATCTAAAATATGGGTTTAATAGGAGTGATAATAGTTTCTCTAAATCCAAAATATCAACGAAAATGGACATCCGATTTAGAAGAAATCATGAAAAACAATACTTTCATAAACACGTTTAATCAAGGGAGATAATTCAACACTTGGGTTTTAAAACCCCATGTTGTCCTTTAAATAGGTCACAGGTATCCAATGATATAAGATATAGTTGTTCCATGTATATTTTAAAAATTTCTTTGACGAGTAAAACAATATGCGTTTCTTTTTTTGTTGAGTATTTATTTTAAGCTTGGATAAGGTCAATGATTAAAAATCCATTTTATCTTATATTATGCTAAAAATATTTTAATCTATTACAAATCATGAAATTTAAAGTAAATATCATCTAAATATAACAACTAAGGGCAGATCACTCTAACTGCGTAAAACTACCCTATAAGTGTAGCTCTTTTAGTATGCACTGTTTAGAGCTTCCTAAAAACCGTGATATATGCGATTCAGCGACTGAGGTGAATGCATGAGCCGATGGTAGGTAATGATAATTTAAAAGTAATCTCAAAGATAATTTTAACAGTCATTTTAAAACGAAAGTAAACAGGTATAATTTTTGGTTTTTCGTCTCAAAAAAAAAATAGAAAGAAATATATCAATATTTCATACAGATCCCAAGAAACTTTACAAATTAGACGCAGAACAAACATATTGATCAGAGTTTTAAAAAATTTATGACAAATCTCCTAAGACTGTCATATTATGAAATGTTATGACCATTAATACAAAATTAATTGAAGTACCCTTCTTATCTTATGATTTCCGGGTATTTTTTTATAATTAATTTTTCAATGTTCTTTATCTCTATTCACTCAGACATGCTTATTGAGAAAAAAAATCAATATAAAAATTGACCCCCAAAAATCCCCTCTCCTTTTGTGGAAGTCTGAGAATAACCTATTTATAAATTGAAATGTTAAAAAAATAAATATATGTAAGAAGTTATTGTCTTCTGCTTGTATTGGAAACACTTCTTTTATTAGAAAAATCCTTTATTAAGGCACAGATTAGTGCACAAAAGTTTGTATTATATTTATCATATTTGAATGCTTTATATTTTCACTTCAGTATATGTCTAAATAGTAAACCTATCAAAAACATCATGGTCACACTAGCAACCAATCTGTTAAACAGAACGAGAAATTTCACTTTGAAAGGACAAGATAGGCTAGGACCCCTCTTTGGCCCTTTGTTTTGGTATACTTTAGAATACTCAGCAGTTTATCGATAAAGACCTGTATACATAATTTCCACTAAATGAGTATTGGTTTAAATTTATTGGGTACACTGGATTCACTGAAAGGTCAGAAATTATGTCGATTTCTAGATTTTCTCATTTAAAAAAAAATTTTTCCTTGATTTTGCAGCACATTTTCTTTTTAAAGAGATACTAAGCTTGCCTAAACCAAATTTATCTATTTCATACAGTAAAGTATAGAACCTCCTGCTCTAAGTATTTTAAATTTGACGAAATTCCACAACAATTGAGGAAACTGGGGATAATGTTCTACATTGTACGTCTGCACCCTTTTGTGGTGTTTATTAGTTTTAAATAAATATTAGTACTGCTTTCAAAACAAGCATCATTTTTAGTTATACCCGCACTTTCTAAAGAAAGTTCGGGTATATTGTTGTTACTCATGTCCGTCCGTCCGTCCGTCCGTCACACTTTTCTTCCCTGTAGATGTGCAGTAAGGTTTTGGAATTTTGATTTTGCCCCGGGGGGTCAAATGGGGGTCGAAAAATGACGTTTTTTATGCAAAAATCCCCGTCTTCCCTGAACTCCTTCTACATTTTACTCAGCAGCCTAACCAGCTTTTGGGAGATGGTTGGTGGGGTCATGTAGATGTGCAGTAAGCTTTCGGAATTTTGATTTTGCCCCAGGGGGTCAAATGGGGGTCGAAAAATGATGTTTTTTAAGCAAATAGCTCCGTCTTCCCTGAACTCCTCTTACATTCTACTCAGCAGCCTAATCATCTTTTAAAAGATGGTTGGTTGGGTCATGTAGATGTGCAGTAAGGTTTTGGAATTTTGATTTTGCCCCGGGGGGTCAAATGGGGGTCGAAAAATGATGTTTTTTATGCAAAAAGCCCCGTCTTCCCTGAACTCCTCTTACATTTTACTCAGGGGCCTAATCATCTTTTGGGAGATGGTTGGTGGTGTCATGTAGATGTGCAGTAAGGTTTCAGAATTTTGATTTTGCCCTGGGGGGTCAAATGAGTGTCGAAAAATGACTTTTTTTAATGCAAAAAGACCCTTCTTCCCTGAACTCCTCTTACATTTTACTCAGCAGCCTAATCATCTTTTGGAAGATGGTTGTTGGGGTCATGCAGATGTGTATTAAGGTTTCTGAATTTTGATTTTGCCCCAGGGGGTCAAATGGGGGTCAAAAAATGATGTTTTTCAAGCAAATAGCTCCGTCTTCCCTGAACTCCTCTTACATTTTACTCAGCAGCCTAATCATCTTTTTGGAGATGGTTGGTGGTGTCATGTAGATGTGCAGTAAGGATTCAGAATTTTGATTTTGCCCTGGGGGGTCAAATGGGTGTCGAAAAATGACTTTTTTAATGCAAAAAAACCCTTCTTCCCTGAACTTCTCTTACATTTTACTCAGCAGCCTAATCATCTTTTGGGAGCTGGTTGGTGGGGTCATGCAGATGTGTATTAAGGTTTCTGAATTTTGATTTTGCCCCAGGGGGTCAAATGGGGGTCGAAAAATGACGTTTTTTATGCTAAAAGCCCCATCTTCCCTGAACTCCTCTTACATTTTATTCAGCAGCCTAATCATCTTTTTGGAGATGGTTGGTGGGGTCATGTAGATGTGCAGTTAGGTTTCGGAATTTTGATTTTGCCCGGGGGGTCAAATGAGGGTTAAAAAATGACGTTTTTTATGGAAAAAGCCTAGTCTTCCCTAAACTCCTTTTTCGTTTTAAACAGTGGTCTTATCCTCTTTTGGGAGAGTTCACTCTTTTAAAAATTTTTTTAAAACATCAAGGTCAAGGGGTAAAAAATCATAGCATGTTGGGAAACATCTTGTTATGGGTAATGTTCACTTGAAATGTGAAAGTCGAATCTCTTCTCAATGAAAAGGAAATACATTAATGAAAACTAAGTTAAACTTCAAGGTCAAGGTCACAGAGTCAAAAAGTCATGATACATTTGGAAAGGTCTTATCACAGGTAATATGAATTCCCTTTCATTTGTCTTTCAAAATGATCAATTTAAAGCAATTAATTTGTTTATGAAATTAGGTCAAACTTCAAGGTCATGGGTAATAAAAATCATAGTGTATTTAGAATGGTATTGTCCCATTTAATACTAATACGCATGTTTAAAATAAAAGTCCTGTCTCTTCTCATTCAAAATATATGACCATATGACCAAGGTTAAATTTATTGTGACAGATGGGCAGATTGACAAACAAATGAGATTTAATGTACCCTACCTTTAGCGAAAATGGGGGACAATAAATGTCTTTGCTGTTCTTGAGAAGAAGATTTATGTTGGAATAAGTCCCCTGCATATTTAAATGTAAATTGGTTGAAATTGGCCCAGTGGTTCTTAAGAAGTTAATGTGAAAAGTTTGCAGACAAACAGATGGACAACAGAAATCAGTACATTTCAGAAAACAGTATGCTTATAAATAGTTAATCAAGGTGCTTTGGGTAGCAAAATAAAGCTAAACTGGTATATCTAATTCATCCGCAGAGCTTAGTATATTTTAATATGCACAACCTTTTCAACTCTTATCATAATTATTTTTTAAAATTTATATCACCATGTCTCATTCAAGGGAGAACTAGAGATATGACCAGATGTATATCTGTTGAATTTAAAA